TGCAAGGGGAGCAATTACCAGATTAAAACAGGCTGCGCCCTGGAGCCCAGCCTCCTCTCCAATCACCACAATCTCTTGAATCCCAATCTTTGGGCTCTGGGTTGTGGCCAGATGGCTTGGGAGGGAGTCCAGACTTCTGGGCTTCCTGAAGCTCTTCCCCAGGGCCCTCAACAATGGGGGGAGGGGCTCCCAGGAGCACCCAGCCATGCTGGGAGTTGGGAGGCAAGGTACCTTTTCTCCCCTCACCATAAATCACAGAAGGGACATTTGAGATCACCCTCATGGAATCCACTCAATCGGGAAGCCTTGATCTAGCATCCCAGCAGGTTACCTCCAAAGATGGGGAGTTTTACCACCACAAATTTAAGGACTGTCACCATGAGGCAGGTCATGAACCCTGAGAGTTGAACCCAAGAGGCATACACAGACTGAGTCACATTAAAATCATGGTCAGCCAAAACCAGAAGACCTTTTCTCTTACACAAGTGTTAAACCAGGTCTGTACCACAGAAAGGCACTCTGCATGTGAGGGGGAACCTCCTGTTCCAGTCTTGACTCTACAACTAATCAGCTGGGTGGCTTGGCCAATTATCTCCACCCCCATTGAGCTTTATTTTCCTTATCTGTAACTCAAACTGCACTGTCCATTAAGGCAGTCGCTAGTCATAAGTGCCTATTGAACCCTCGAAATGTGGCTAGTACAACTGAGGAACTGAACTTTAAAAAAAATGAAATTTAAAAGCCAAGCAGTTTTCATAAACATTTTTATATTGATTTCACCTTGAAATGACAATATTTTTAATACACTGGGTTAAATACAGTATTATTAAAATTAATTTCACCAAAAACAAACTTCACCTGTTTCCTTTTACTTTTTTAATTTGACTACTAGAAAATTCAAAGTTACAAATGTGGCTCACACTATGATTGTATAGGGCAGTGCTGAATTAGAATGTGAAGGGTCAAATTAGGTGGATGTTTGGGTGTTTGGGGACAGTTAAACTCCAGACAAATTATGGTTTCCGTGGCTGTCGGGTACTCAAGGGGTTATGTTTTCGATCATACAAGCAAGACATGTTATTCTACAAACAATAGAGAATGTGAAAAACGTTAAGAACAAACCAGAAATTACCCATAATCTCACCACCCTACGAGAGCTACTGTTAAACTTTCTCAAGTTTTTCTATGCATGTCTATGTGACATAATACCTGCAAATTACCCTACCTGGCTTTAGGTTCTCAGAAAGGTCACTTTTAACAGCTTGTCTTGAAAGTCTGGGACCTCAAGGAGTCCCCATCAGCCACATGGCAGGACCTTGAACCTCCTTTCTTATTACTGTGAGTTCCAGAGTGGCTGTTGTCTCACGTGGAATCCAGGCCCACCCCCCACTTAGCTCCCATTCTCCTTGGCCTCTGCCATCTCCTGTGGTCACCCTGGCACTGCCTGCACCAGAGTGGAGAGGGGAGGGTCTGCTCTGTCATCTATTGCCAGAAGTTCCCTCCCTACCTGCTCCCATCTCTGCTAATCTCCTCTCTCTTCAGCCAGTAGGGAAACCCTTTCCCTTTTGCGGGGGAGGGAGGGAGGTGCCAGAGTAGAACCGCTTGGGTCCCAGGTGATGGAATCCTTTCTCTTTTACCCATCAGCTCTCGCCTCTCCAGAGCCCCTAGGTCAAGGGCCCCATCGTGCTATATCTAGAACCTGTACTTCTCCCTTCCTACATCCAGTTCTGTCCCTGAATTGGCACCACCCCCATGTGAGACCTCTTCTTCCTCAGGGTGACTTCCTGAGAGGCCCCTGGGCCCCTTTCTGAAATCTGATTTTCATCTGCGCCCCTCTCCTGCACAATCCCTCAAGCACATCTGTGTGTCTGGACCACAAACCTGGAGAGGGATTTCTGGCAGAGGAGCTCCAGGGCTCCCTACAGAGCTGCAAATTATTTTGTACCTTGTTTTCTCCACTTAACATCAAATAGGAACATCTTTCTGATGAGATCATCACTTCTAATGGCTGCTTAGAACTCCATTGCATGGATATGCCAGACCTTTTAATCTACTCTGCATTCATGATTTCTTAAGTTGGTCCCAGGTTTTTGCTCTTATAAGTATCACTTCAGAGACCCTCCCGGTGCACTTGGTTTACTTTGATATTCTCAGATTTTAGGAATTCTTAGTTCTCCCTTCTCAGACATCTAGCAAATTCTGCTAGATGAGTTGTGCTGAACACCACTTTCCCCTGTGCCACCCTTGGCCACCACACTCCTGAGTTCAGCCTCTTTTCTGCCTTACATTTCACCATGCTTCACATATGACCTGAGCTCTGACCACATTAAACAGCACAGTGTCAGGCAGGCCGAGTGGCGCGATGGTTAAGAACTCGCTTGGGATGCCAGAGGGCCCCGGTTCGGATCCCACATATGAGGGCCAGTGACACTGCCCTCTACAGCTAAGATGCTGAACAACAGCTCAACCTGGAGCTGGGTTGCCATGAGTCGCCGGCGACGGCGTAGGCTGCAGCCCCTGTGGCAGTGGGTTGCCATGGGCTACCGTATGTAGCCAGCAGCCAGCATGAGCGGCCAGCAGCCGCAGTGAGCGGTCGTCCAGAAGCCGGCGACTGATCTGCCTTGCCAGAGAAGAGCGCGATGATGGTGCCAACTTGGGCCAGTGAAGCGACATCCTCCACAACCAGATTGAAGAACAAAAAACGACAGCAACTTGTCTGTTCCCCTTCCCCCAATTCCCCAGCACTGTTCCTATCCCCCTAATTCCCCAATAAAAATCTTTAAAAAACAAAACAGCACAGTGTCCCCACACTTGCCACTGCCAGGCGCATTTGCCTATCTCCAAATCCTCCAAGAACAAAATCAAATGTCCCCTCCTCCAGGAAGCCTTCCTTGATTCTCCTAGCTAGAAATGATCCCTCTCTCCTCTGAATAGAGAGCACCTCCTTGTCCTCTCCCTTATGGTACTGATTTGTCCACCTTGTTTACTGGTTGAGTCCACTTGTGTCCCCAGCGTCTGTGTCTGTCTCCGTCCCATGCCCCTGCAGACCAAGAGCTACTTGAGATCAGGGACCAATCCTGATTTCTTTCTGTGGGCACAAGGCATGGCACAGAGTGGGCATGAATGAAGAGTTGGGGCCTGAGTTCTGGTCCCACTGGCCACTGATGTTCTGTGACCTGGGATAGGTCCTCCTCTCAGGGTGTGGCTTCCTATGGCCTGAAGTAGTTGAACCTGGCTGTGGGGGATTCTGTTGTGGTCAAGGGACAGTCTGGCCCCAGGCTTATGTGCTGGCCCTGGTGTGGGGACAATCTCTCTCATGGATAATGATTGCAGGGAAGTCCCCCTTTTCCCCTGGCCACACAGCCTCATTATAAGCCCTTCAGGATTTATGTCTGAGACCCACCCTAATCCTATCTCTAACATATAGTGTCCTGGCAGACAAGGATGAATAGAGATTGTAAACATTGACTCATTCATTCATTCATTCATTCACTCCTTCATTCAGCAAACTGCTACCAAGCTGTACTCTGGCAGGGTCCTGTGCCTGGCTCTGTGGACCCAGCATTGAATCAGACCTAGATCCAGTCCTAGAAATACTTTCAGTAAACAGTCAGCAACATAATGAGGTAGGGCTGGAACAGAGGGCAGCACAGGGGCTGTGGGAGCCCAGGGAAGGGGCCTTTCCCCTGCCTGGTAGTCAGGGAAGGATTCCTGGAGGAGACTTAAACTGTGTCTTAACAGAAGAGTGAGTCTTTGCTACAATGAGCAGGGAACAGCAGGACACTCGCAAGCAGCAGTTACAGACCAGGGTCGGGGAGAGCCTAGCTGTGTTCAGTCTCATGCTGGATGCTGCTTGCATGTAGTCTAATGATTAGAGGAACGTGGAAAGGGAGGGATTATCCGTTCTTGTTTACATGATTAAAACCAGACAAATACTTCCTTTATCTGAAAGAATGAAAGGGCTTTAGGGAAAAATCCTTTTGGCAGCAAAGCAAAGCCCTGAGCATCTCCTTAGCTAATCTCTCCCTCCCCACCCTCCCTCCTCTCCTCCCACAGTCATGAGAAGAGTAGCTCCAGGCTGACCTTGACTGGTGGGCAGAGTCCCGGTCTGGGTGGGGAGGGGTGGGGAAGACCCAGAAGAGAGAGATCCACAAGCTTCCTCTACACAGCCTCCCTCAAAGGGAGTCAGGACCTGGGCACGAACCCAAGATGGCTACAGGGTAGCACCTCGCAGGGGAAATCTAACCATGGCCCCATTTTATAGATGGAGATCCTGAGGCCCAAAGATGGGGAGTGGATTCTTGCCTGAAGTCACATAGCCAATGGGCAGAGCTACGAATAGGACCCAGGTCACCAATTCCCAGCACAGGGTTCTGATTCACTCACTCACTCACTCTCATTCATTAGTTCATCAGCAAGCGTGCAGTAACCACCTGCTTGGTGGCAGCTGTGAGAGCTCACACTGGGCACTGGGGACCCACAGAGAAGTCAGACCTCTCCCTCTTCTCACATGTCCTCAGTCTGATGAGAGAGACAGGTAAACAGACAGGGACAATTACAGTCATGACAGATGATGCTGGATCCTGACTGTGGATAGTTTAATGATACGAGGAGCGAGGAAGAGGGCTGTGCGAGCTCCTGAGGGGCTCCTCATTCTGGGGGAGAGGCAGGTAGCCCACAGAGATTTCACCAAAGAGCTTGGTCTTACCTAATGGCTAGGAATTAGGCAAATGACAGAAGCTGATAAAAGATATCAGCACAGGGAAATGTCTAGATATGTGAACAGGCTTGGCTGGTGACCCTGGGCATGGGGGAGAGAGCAGAGCAGAAAGAGAGGCTAGAAGGGGCCATGAGGACTGGATGACTGGGAGGGGTTCCCACGCCCGCACGTTCCCTGGAGCACTGTGAAGGTGCTGAGCAGAGCCAGGAGGGTGGTAAGAGTGGGTGCACCCGGGGTACCCTGACCCACCCACACGCCCTGACCCACATCGCTCTCCCAGCCTGATGTCCGGCCTCGCCTCCCTGGACGCCAAGACTTCCAGCCGCCTGGGCATCTTCACTGTGGCGTACTACCTGTGGACCACCTTTGTGGCAGTCATCGTGGGGATCATCATGGTCTCCATCATCCATCCCGGTGGCGCAGCCCAGAAGGAGGCCACGGAGCAGAGTGGGAAGCCCATCATGAGCTCAGCCGACGCCCTGCTGGACCTCATACGGTAACCCTCACCACGGACACTCTGCTTGGGAATGCCATGCCTGGGCTGGGGCCGCAGGCTCCACAGGCCCAGCTGCACATGTCTACCAGGGGGCAGGATCGGGTATGGGGAGGGGGTGCTCAGAGTCTGCCCTTGATTACTCCTGATAATGAGGGGGCAGCCACAGAGGCCACTCTCTGCTGCCTCGACCCCTGTGCTCCCATGGGCTCACAATGCACTGTCTACCCCATTGAGCTGGGAGCCCCTCGAGGGCCAAACTGGGGTCTACTCCTATGGGAGCCCAGCCCCAGCACACTGCCTGGCACAGAGCGGGTGACAATGAGTGTTTGCTGACTGACAGAGCTTACTTGTATGCACTCAGCCTCTCAGGTGGAAGGCCAGCAGTCACTGGTTCCCTCCACCTCCCTTTCCTTTTTGGGACCCTTTTTACAGATGAGGGTTTGAGGCTCAAAGAGATGATGTGACTTTTCCAGGGTTATTCGGCAGGTAGGTTGTGGAGCCAGGATTCAACCTAAGCCTGTCTGACTCCAAGGGCAGTGTTTTTTGCCCTGCAGAGTCCCTGTCTGAGCCACGTGGGCTCAGCTAACCATCTGTTTCATAGACCTGAGTCCTCCTCCCAGGAAAGTGCTGTAGACCCTGCAGTACATCCACATCTGAGTCCCTCTGCCCCAGGCTCCCTACAGGCCACCCCCTCTCCTCTCTGGCTCCCTCACCAATGCTGGCCCTGTGCCAGGACACTCAGAACTGGCCTTAATTCTAAAGGAGAGAAAGGCCCATGAATAGACACAGACGACATGGGTGGGGGCTGTGATGGGAGAAATAGGGGTTGGGGCTGGGGGCAAGGAGCAGTGTCAGAGGAGGCAAAGCTGCTGCTGTAAAGGATGGGATGAGTGGGAGGGCAGGGGAGGCAGTGAGGGCAACAGCTGTGCAAAGGTCCTGAGCGGAGACGGGAGAAACCATTGTCCCTTCCACACGACTGGGGCACAAGGTGCGAATGGGGAGTGGACAATCACTAGGGAAGTTGGTGGGGCCAGGCTATGAAGAACATTGCGAACCAGGCCAAAAACTGTGTTTTATCCTAGAGGCCACACAGGAAGTGGGTTTTAAACATGGGAGTGGCATGATCCAATTCAGAAGGCTCACTCTGGCTGCCAGAATGGGGGAGGGGGACATGGTAGGAGGGGAAGACAGAGGCAGGGACTGGGCCAGGGTGGTGGCCACGGGCACGAGGAAAGAGAGCAGACTGAAGGGCTGCTCAGGGGGTAAGATCAGCAGGAGACAGGCAAAATGGAGGGGAAGGTGGAGGAGGTGGTGGTGCTGATGGCATGAAGATTTCTGGTCTGAGCCCCGTAGTGGATGGCAGTGTGGTGCCGGAACTGATGCGGACATCCTGGGGGAGATGACAGCTGATGGTTGGCCAGTGGATCTGAGTCTTGCTGGAGAGTCTGAGCTGGAGAAGAAGGGTGGGAAATGAGCAGGGTAGAGATGTTAGGTAGACCCTCATGGCGGAGGAGTCTCCCAGCACAGCGTGGGTAAGGAGAGCGGGGCAGGGACAGAGCCCAGGGAAGTACCACATTGGAAACGGTTTATTGGGCTCAATAGGACACCCCATCAAACTTGTTCTGTACACTTCTTCTAGTCCCTCCCATTTTCTTGCCAACTTCAGATGTAAGAAATCCAGTGTGGTTTCATATTAAAACTCCAGACTCATCCAATTTAAATTGAATCCTATCGTATACTTTTGCATCTGGTTCAAACTTGGAAACCTGGAGTGGGAAGAAGATTATAGTAGATTTTTCTCTTGTTCTTGCTCCACCTGCTCTCCTGTTGTTAGCACTGGGGTTGGAGCAGTGGAGAGAGGAGGAAGTGGGCTAGAAATGTCCTCCTCCCCTGGTGGTGGAGTGAGCTGAGGGTGGTGTTCTCTGGTTGTATTTCTTCAGGGGTTCTCTTGTGGGTTCTTTGGAGCTCCTCCTGTTACTGGTGTTATTCCCTTGACTCCGGTTATCCATGCTCTATCTGGCTGTTTACAATGGCCTCCTCAGGCCTGACCTCTGGTCAGCTTCTCTGCTGGGAACCTCATACCCCTGGGTGATCCTCTTAGGCATGGTCCCTTCTGCAACGTCCACATTGGCCCATGGGAAACATATATATCCTTGCTAAAAGTGCAGGCCTTTCCCAGGGCGTTTGAACATAAGTCAGGCACCACCCCTACATTCCTCAAATCCTAGTGGACACAGCCAAGGTCTCTAAATAGTGACCTTTAAGCCAAGGTCTCTTGGCTTAAAATTAGGGAGCACTCTTCTCTTTTCCTATCAGGATTGATGCCCACCACACAGTACCTCACCCCTCTCTCTTCTCACCCTCTGTATCAGTTAGTTATTGCTGTGTAACAAGACAACTAAAGATTTAGTTGGTTTAAAATAACAACCACAAGTCTACAGTTCAGCTGGAAGGTTCTGCTGATTTGGACTGGGCTCGGCTGAGCTCACTCATGTATTTGCAGGCAGCTTGTCACTCAACTGGGAGGCAGATGATGTAAGCTGAGATCCTTCAGCTGTGTTCCTTGTGTTCTCATCCTCCAGCAAGCCAACCTGGATTTATTAAATGGTGGTGACAGGGCTCGCCTGGGCATATTGTTATGATGAAGGTAGAGGAACAAGAGAGAAAATAGAAACATGCAAGTGTTTTTCCAAGTCTCTGCTTTTGTCAAGTCAGCTAACATCCTGTTGGCCAAAGCAAGTCATGTGGCCAAGTCCAGACTCAGGGTGGGAGGGGACCGCCATATTATAAGGCAAACGGCTTCCATTAATGGGGGCTATCAATGTAATCAATCTGCCATCCCCTCCATTTTCTCCATTCTTCAGGATCTCTTTTAAGTCTTTTTTTTTTTTAAGCTGAGCCATCCTGCCACCAGTTGGCAGCTCAGTGGCTGCTCAGCTTGGGCCGGGAATTGAACCGCTGTTGCTCAGAGCTCAAACTCTTGAGCGAGCTCTTAACCAACTGAGCCACTCAGCCGGCCCTCTTTTATTCTTTAAGGTGTGTGATGAACTAAAGATCACATAAACACTTGCAATTTTGTTCCCACTGTATGGTTCTCACACCCATAGAGAGTCAGAAAGAGAGACCCAGGCAGGGTCAGTTATATTTACACTTACTTGCCTGGTGATTTCATCCAGTACCATGATGTTGAGTACTTTCTGTACTCTGACACTGCCAAATTTTGTTTCCAGCCTGGAAACCTCTCACCCACACTTCAGATTCTTATATACAGTCGTCTAAAGGCATCTCAAAATTAACACATCCAAAGCTAAACTCTGGATTTTTCTCATAAATCTGCCCTTTGCTCAGTCCTGCCCATCTTGGTCTCACGTCTCTCATGTCCTGCATCTAATTCGTCGGCAAATTCTATCAGCTCTACCTTCAAAATAATATCTCAGACCTTGTCCCCTTCTGTCACCCTCTGACAGTCCCATCATCGCCCAGACCACCATCACTTCCAATAAGGTCACCCTCTTTCTCTCTGCTTCCCCACAATCTGTTCTCAATGCAGAAGCCAGAGGGATCCTATAAAAAAACCTGTTCACAACCTATTACAAGTCAACAAAATCCAGTGTTCACTATGGCCTACAGGCCCTTTCTGATCCCCCCGACCACACACAGGTCAGCCTCTGACCTCCTCTCCAGCGCTCCCTCCCCTCACTCCGGTCACGCTGGCCTCTGTGCCATTCCTGTAGATGTCGTTAGGGTCCCATCTGAGCACATTGTCCTCACCGCTGCCCCTGCCTGGATGGCCCCTCCTGCAGAGCGCACGTTGCTTTTTCCCTCACTTCACTTACACTTCTGCTCTATGTCATCTCTTCAAAGGGACCTCCCAGCCTCTGTCACTCTCTCCTCATCGCCTTTCTTACGGCCTGACACTATCATGTCTATGTATTTCTTTATTTCTCTGTCTCCCCCACTGGAATAAAATATGCTCCAGGAGGGCTAGTTCTTTAAAAACCTGGAGCCTAGAACAGCACCTGGCACAGAGGTAGAGCTAAGTGTTTGCTGAATGCATATGTGGGATGTGGGGTCGTCGATGGAGTTGGGGTTTGAAGCCACAGGAGAAAAGGGACTGTACTGAGCCCGGGGTGACCTGTGGCCCACAGCCACACTGGAGGGCTGCAGAGCTGATGAAGCAGGAGCCAGCTGAGGGCCCGGAGGAGAACCAGGGGACCAGATGTCCTGGAAACCAAGGGAGGAGGAATTTTGAGAAGCTTTATTTCTAAGATCCGTTATTTCTAAGATTTGGTAACTATGATTCATCATTTCTTGGATTCTATGATTTGAAACAGCCTTTCTTCGTGGTGGAAGGAGTTGTTGGTGCTCGAGGAGCCCCCGCCCTCCCACCACTGCCCCTTCTGCTCAGGGGCTGAGGGCTCTGGATCTAGCACACGTGTCAGAGTCAGATGTTCCAGGAGCAGTTCCTGCTCTCGGTTCTTTTTCACGTGGTGAAAATTGATCCTCTGGTTTGAGGCTTTTCCCCTAGTCACTCTCAACCCGACACAAGTTGTTTTGCAAAGCTGGGTAGTTGGATATCCTGTCACTGTTTCTTAGTCAGAGAACAGGGCTGCAGGGGGAGAGACATGCTTCCTGGGACAAGGAACCAGAATCTTGGAGATGTGAGATCTTGTCTCAGCTCTGCCAGGAAGTTACTGTGTGGCTCTGGGCAGGCCAGTCCCACTCTGCAGGCCTCAGTTTCCCCAGTGGTTTTCAATATTCCTTCTAGCTTTGTGGTTCTGTAACACAAAGGACTCCAAGCCATTGAGGAGGCTACAGAGTCGGAGCAGGAGCTACTGGAGGCGGGTTCTAGGAGATGAGGTTGGCAGGACAGCGCAGAGCTCAACCTTGAAGACCTTGATTCCAGGCTGAGGGGTTGGCTCTATGCTTTAGAAACAAGAAGCCGGTGAGTTTGGGAAGGCAGGATTAGAGCTGGATGGAGTGGACAGGGTGTGACTGGG